GTAAGGTAGTTATTCAAAGGACTGCAAAAGAAAGTTTGTGAATTCATAGAATGATGAATGGAAAGTTAGATGATGGCAGTAATGTTCATTGACTCCATGAAATCATTCAGAGGCCTACACTGAGATACCTCACATAATGTAGGGATATAATATCTTTTCTAATTTTTATGTACCATATCTAAATGCTTCTTCTTATAGTTTCTAGAGGATATCTAAGTGTTGATCAGTGATTCAAGACAAGTGACACAAGTGTTGATACTCTCCTCAGGATATTTGCAAGCTCCTTACAGATTAGATTGCTGTGCAAGTTACTGATTTTCTCCAGTTTCTTCCTGTGAAGTTGGGAATGAAATCCTGATCATGGGAAAGGAGGAAGGGGATCTAGAAATCTGATTTAGTTGTATGGTCTGGAAAGATTTTCAAAGATGGGGAAGGGAGGCTGGGTTTAGGTAGGAGAAAAGGAAGATGGAGTGTCGCTGGTCACATACACCTTTTGTTCTTAGGGCTTCTATAATGCTCATTGGAGCGTGGGAAGGTTTGCTAATATCATTGGGTGAGCTCAGCTAGTTCACTCATAGAGCCAGTGCTGACATGGCTCAAAAATGTAAAGTGGGTGACTTTTGTCCTCAGAGTATGGCAAGCCTACCCTTTAATGGCTCTTGTCACCTTGGTAGCACACTAATCTCTCAATTGCCTATTCTGGTCCCCAGGAACACGTATTCTTACATGGCTCATTGAACTAATTTGTGCAGTAAATTTTCATGGAAAGCTTTCAGTGTGACAGGCTCTGTGCTAAACAAGGGTAAACTCACTAATGCTGGCAAAAAAAACTGAACCAAACCTCCAAGGGAATTTGTATTACAATGTGACAAACCCCTAGGTGACATTAAGGCAATGGAATAGAATTCTCATTTGAGGTATCATCAAGAAGAGTAGAGTTGACATTTTTAGGTTCAGTGATTTATATCATCTCTCTGATCCTACAGATTTCTTAACACTATAGCATACTATTGTGAAATAGATCTACAGTGTCTTCTGGCTCGTGGATTGGCATGCGTACAAAACCAACATACAGTTCATAACTGTTTTTTCCTGGTGACCCCAGACCTTGGTCTTTGTGACTTTAATCTAATCTCTGACTTAGGGTCAAACTCCCAGTATTTACATAACCATTTATTTTGTATGAGTCCTCCATGTTTCCCTTTGTTTTCATCAAGGCCTTTAGGACTGAAGATCCAAAATTATTTGCTGTCCAAATGGCAAAATGGTGATAAACATTGAAGCTGGGGGATGGTCATACAAGGTCGTTATACCCTTATTTCCACTTTTGAAAAGTTCAAAAGAAAGTCAAAAGACAAAGAAAACCATAATAGAAGTGATTTTCAGATATTGTGTATGAGAACCAGATGAGTATGAAATTGATGTTTAACTTTACAGGAAGACAGAAGTTTAGAGAAAGACTCACAGGCCTAACTGTGCTACCTCTGTCCATCAAAAACCTCAAGGATTTTCTGCTTTAAGAAGTTGTGTGCAATCAAGTCTTTATATGAAAGACTGTCAGTCTCTAATCATTTCTAAGTTTCCTTGATGGAGTGGTGTCATATAAATCTTGGTCAACAGGCCTTGGAATCTTAACTGCTAAATTCACCAGTTTCTATGTTGTGGTCATTGTTGTTAACTTACATTTAAAATTCTACAGGTCTGCATTTCTTTTTTAACATATCACTAACGTTAGGGACCAGATGTTTCCTCTAGATCAGGGTAGGGCTTCTTAGTTGCTTCCCTTGTTTTTCTTATAATATACATCTTCCACGAGGTTGTTTTAGAGACATTACAGTGTAGAGTCCTTGAGCTGGAAGCTTGGAATAGTGTCTCAGGGACAAGGAAGGAAGCTCTAAGAGAAAAATATGGTGGAAAAGGAAGCAAGCACAGTGTATGGATATACCAGATGAAGCTAAAAAAAAAAAAAAACATTCTCACAACTTGTTGAACTGTGATCTTAATGTAGAAGGAAAAAATACCTTACGGGGAAACATTCCAATCTGCTTTCTTAGGTTATTTTAATATTCAGATAAACTTTTAATAATTTTCTTTTAGAATATGACTATTTCCATGGCTTAATGTTCTCATTGTATCATTAAATTTTATATTATATATCATTTAGCGGGAAAACAAAATACTGGCAATGTCATTCACTATGCTTCTTTTGATGTAACTTTTGTTCCATGTGATCAAATAGAATATATGCACCATCAAAAGGCATTCAGGATTATACTGGCTGCTACAAAAACCAAGTTCCTCAGGTCCTGTAAGTTATTATCTTTCTGTTGCATTTTACAGTTGATAAAATTAACATTTAGAGAGGGTAAGTAGCCTATGCTCACACATCTCAAAGTGGGAGAATCGTACTCCCATTATAAGCACTCCCAGATCTCCTGATTCAGAACTGTTTAATTTTCAAGGGATCCCATTAGTGAAAAGCACTTTTGTTTCCTTTGACAATAAAAGAAACATAGCCTTTAAAAATATATATTCCAGGTTTTTTCCCTCAGCTTTTCAAAAGTCTTCTACAGAAGATGTAAATGAATCTCAACCAGGTTGTCATTTGATTTTCAAATGTGTTGAATGGTTGAGTGCTGAATTTTATCTTATCTCATTAGATAAAATTCAGTGGTGGTTACATAATGTTTTTACCTTAAAAACTACATTATTTCTTAAGAACCTATTCGATTTAGAAACAGGATATTTCCAAAAGAAAAAAATGACAAGACAGTATCTTTTTTTTTCTTCTTTAAAGTAGGTCTCATTGAAACTGTGATGAGGAACCATGTCACTAGGGAAAAAGAGTCATTAAATTTTGTTTGTTTTGCATACATGCCAATTCACAACTCAGAGGAAACTGGATTTATTTTGCTATCAAGTAACTTTATAGACATATACACAGTATATAAACAGATTCTTACAACGCCTTTAAATATTCAAATATCTCTTTTGAAATGCATTTTAATAGGTGATAAATGAATTCAGGAGACCTATCTAGACTTCATTTTTAACCCCCAAACTGTACACAAGCTGATCATTTGAAGCACCATCTGAGTGTCGAGAAAGAAGAATGATTTTTCCAAGGTCCAAGACCTCATTGAAAATATCCCACTCAGAAATCTGGGAAACCCTATTTGCCAATGGCATGAGGCTAAGCAAAGCATAAGATAAAGCTGAGATCAATATTCCAGGCAAAGCACCTATGAACACTACATCCAGTGATGAAGCTTAAAGTTAAAATCAGAAGTATTCAGAGCTGGATGAGAGAATGTCATGAACACAGACTGGAAATGAGCAATGTCATGAACGCAGACTGGAAATGAGCAAACAGACTGGAAATGAGCAATGTCGAACACAGGTTGGAAAGGAGCCAACAGGTCTGAGTTTCACAGGCTGTCTGAGCTGAGCAGCAGAGTTCAGGTGCCAGTGATGCAGACTAATTTCTCCCATGTTCTGAATGGAAATCTATGCTAGTGATTAGATGCAGTGATTTAGCAAAATTCTCTTTGCTGGGCTTCCCTGGTGGCACAGTGGTTGAGAGTCCTCCTGGTGATGCAGGGGACGCGGGTTCGTGCCCCGGTCCGGGAAGATCCCACATGCCACGGAGCGGCTGGGCCCGTGGGCCATGGCTGCTGGGCCTGCGCGTCCGGAGCCTGTGCTCCGCAGTGCAAGAGGCCACAGCAGTGAGAGGCCCGCGTACCACACACACACACAGAAAAATTCTCTTTGCTTTCTGCTGGGCTCTTTTTCCATCAGAAATAATAACCTATGTTCTCAATGAAGGCCTCAGACCTCCTAACTATCCCCCCACCTCCACCCCACACACAAATCAGGCTATTTAAACTGGAAGTAAAAGGAAAGAAATTACATTATTGCGTGTTCAACAATTTCTTAGCAGCTGCCTGCTGGAAGGTTTGTGGCAGTTACATCAGGCATATCACATAAAGTTTATATTCAATAACTTGTAGTGTCTTCAGTCACTGAAAAATGCATGGTAGGTCCCCACTGAGTGTATTGCCACTCTCTGTGCTAGCTGTTGAAATATTATTTAGGGGAACATTAAAGAAAAAATATTCTCAGGTTTCAGAGTCATGTTGTGTCTCAGAACAAAAAGTCACCCAAGGAAAAGTTGCAGGGGTCCAGGGTTAAAAAACATACTAGTGATTCACATCCAATGCACAGCAGAATGAGCCATCATGGGAATGATACATTTAGAAAACTGATAGGATCGCAAAAAAATGGTTCCACAGTTCCATGGCTACAGGGGATCCATTTAGTTTTCAGACCTTTGACCTTTGCTCAAACGATGACCTAGTTAGTCTTCTATGCTTTGGCCTTTATATTTTGTCTCTTTCGACTAACAGCCATGTAGTAAATCTACAGTCATTCCATAAAGTTTCCCATTTATATCTGTGCACTTTCAAATATAATTTGATATGGCCTCCGTTCCAGCAGAATGATCACTGCTTCATTATGCCATTTTAACCACGATCAGCAATTGTAGACAACAGTGTCCTTTGAGTACTGTGTATAAGTTAGTCAATCTATCTATTTGTACTTGAAAAGGCAAAAATAAAACAAAGCAAATAACTTCTAGAAAAAAAGCAAAATAAAAACCTCATCAGAGATACATGAAATAAAGAACAGAAAGCTGTTATTGGTGTCATATACCCTTAAAGGTATCTTATCTACAAATGAACAGGCAAAAGTTAAAACTGAATTTAGCTCACGTCTTTCAGGAATGTATTACTGGAGTGCCAAAATTCGATAATAAACAAGTATGATCAGCAAACATACAGGCTTTCATTATCATCTAATAAAAGAGACTATTGTGATATGTAATTTTTAAACAGTTACTTGAACTTTACCTCATACAAAAATACAAAAACATTCTCTTATATAATATTATTATTAGGTCTTTAGGCTTTATGGCAAAACTGTTTCTTGTACCCTTATAGTTATGACTGATTTCTGGCTACTTGTTGAGTCTCCAGCTGAATCATGGACAGGACCAGTGATGTGACCTGAACTCAGTAATAAGGTACATAAACTTGACCTGGCTATCCCTTATCTCCCTCTAGTAGTAAGTTGTTATAAACTATTTACTAAAATAAAAATACTCTTTACATGTATGTAGGTGATACTCAGGAAATGGTGTGGCAAAGAATATTCAATTTATATGCTTAGAGTTCTAAGGTAAAAAACAGAAATTTGGTACTTGAATGCCAGTATGTGATTAAGGAAATAGAATATCATGGAGAGTAATGGATCGCAAAATTTAGCATAATAATAACAGCAATATCAGGGCAAAAGGTAGTACAGGCATCTTGAATATCATTCTAATGTTCTTTATTACTCTCCTGAGATACTTATAATTTTCAAGGAGAATAATGGGAGTTAAAAATAGCAAAGCAAAAAAAAAAAAAAAAGGAAAGCAAAGGGAATGTATGAGCCAAGATAATACAGAGATTAAATTCTACCAACTTCTTTCATAAATCTTTGTTATCTTCACAGTCCCTGAATGGATACTTTGGCCAAGCATTGAACTGCTTCTGTGATCAGCAAACATACAGACTTTCTTTTCCTTTTTTTCCCCATTTAAAAATTATCTCCTACTTCTTGAGTTGGCAGAACGTCAGGCAAATTGATTGCCCGTCTATTTTCTGTACACATCCCACATCTTTAAGGACCTCAGAATTTTTCTTAACATTGTGTGCCCTACCTAGAAGCCCTTTTTTCCGCCTTTTCCACTTGTTCAAATCCTACTCATTTTCCAAAGCTTAACATAATAACGTGCTATCTCTGCATTTCCTTATCTCTCTCTGAGGTCTCAAAGCAAGTTAGCTATGCATATCCTATGATTGTAAAACTAGCTACCTATCTATTACTGTAAAGCAGTTTTTCCAACCACTGAGTTAAAATATTCATGGATTAACAATGATAAAGATGGTAAATGTGTCCATTTCTATTTCAATTTTAAAATCAATTTGAAATATAACTGCTTAAAAGAGGAAAAAAAACCAGTTTGAGGTCTCAAACACTGTCAAATGAATACCCATTCAGTTTATCAAAACTGAACAATGCCAGCTGAAAGGAAGAGCTTTAAACTCTATTCAGTTTTAAACTACCATTATTCTTATTTTTAAAACTATTTTATAAATCATTGATTAAAGATATTGAGAGACCTAAGGGTATTGAAAATCAGAGGTGAAAGTAGAAGTAAGGAAGTTTGTATATCTGCAAATTTGCACCAACACCATCTTTATCAGGTTTGAAAAGTGCATTCAGGCAATTCACATTTCGATAAAGAAGAAAGAGTCGTGTCTGGAAATTCAAGATCAGTAACCAAAGAAAATATATGTGTCACATATATTTAATCTTTTACTTGTTAGGTACAAAAGCAAGACACATCCAAATAGTGTTATTGATGTAGAAGTGTTTTCATAAAGCAGCCTCTAACCTTCTTTCTTATCTCATAATTAAGAAATTAAATAATTAATAGAAATATAAAAAATAGTATGATATAGTTTAAAAGTATGAAATACAAAAAGTCAAATATAAATTAAGGAAACGTTTTTGTCCATATTTGATGACAAAAAAATTGTTAAATTTCAGGTCATCTTTCACTATATATTTTGTACTGAAACACAATACATTAAAACTTTATGCATTAACAAATTAAACTTCTTATTACTTAATTATTTGGAGGTAAAATTTCCTTTCTTAGTAGGAAAAATCAAATTTAGTTTTCTATTATGGCTATATTAAAGAATACACAATCCTTAATAATTTCCTAATATAATTAGAAATCTGACTCTTCATATCATTAAAAATGAATAAAATTTTTTAACATGACAGGCTATAGATATAACTATGAAAATGGGTCACAGGTCTGAAAAGGTTTGGAAATGTTAGTTGATAAAAATAATTAAAAACTGAATATAATAAATTAATACTTTATATTCACTTAGAAATGTGATATATAAATAAATCAATAGATGAATAAATACATGAATTAGAAGGAGGAGGGAAGAGCAAGATTTGTTAGAGAAGAAATTGATTGTAAAACCAGACAGACCTGGTTTGAATTTTTAAAACTGCCACTTATGAGCTATAGGTCCTTAGGAAAGATATCCTACCAAAAGTCTTTGAGCACAAGTTAATTATAAAGATAATAGACATGGCAGTTCCAGTAATATACCTACCTATGCAGTAGTCCTTATGCAAAGTTTTTATCCCATTCTTTTCTTGCTCTACTTTGAGTGTAGTTTCAGCCTGCATGTGGTATACATGTGGCTTCAACCTGTGTTGAAATGTTCAGGAGAAAGACACAAATCCTAGAAGTTAGTATTTCTTCCCAGCTTTCTTTTGTGTAATCCTCATTTATCCAAATTCAATTGCATTTTTTCCCACTGTTCTTTGATATCATCCATTACTTTCCTAGATGAGATGGAGGACTAAAAGACTAAGACTAATCTTTTAGTCCTCCATCTCATCTACCTTTTATAATACATTGTACCAAACGTTAAAAAAAATTTATAAAATTCAATCTAATAAACAATAATCATTCATCTAATTAAGGGAGGGAATTAGATATTATCACCTAGATATTTTTCATAAGCTCAGATAATCTTCTTCTCATGCCTAAACCTCAAAGTCAGCAGCACCATTCTAGTTTCTTCTGTTATATTTGGCTGGAGAGATCTGTGGATTGGCCAAGAGATAGTAGAAGTCTCAGTTCTCTCTGTTCTCCTCCATTATTTCCCACAAACATATCTGAGAATGCTGTTCTAAAAAGAGGAAATGGATTGAAATTACATTTAAATGTTGACTATCAAATAACAAAATATATCTATAATGACTGGAATTTTAGGATCAAAAGTTTCATTAGAATAAGAACGTATGTCTTAAAATGATGCAGTATGAGAGACTCTACGGCTGGCTTTCACGTAGTCATCTGCCATGTTTTGAGAGGATCACATATAGCTAGGACCTGAAGGCAGCCTCTAGTAGCTGTGGACAACACCTAGCCAACAGTAAGCAAGGAAGCAGGAATCTCAGTCCTACAACCACAAGGAACTCACTTTTTCCAGCAAACATACGAGTGTAGAAGATGACCTCAAGCCTCAAATGAGAAAGTAGCCCAGCAGAAACTGTGTGAAACTGTGAGAAGAGAGTTCAGCCACTCTATGCTCGAACTACATACAGAACTGTGAGATAATAAATGGGTGTTGCTTTAAGCCACTAAGTTTGTTATGAAGCAATATAAAATTAATATGATAGGGGTTTTTTTTTGTTGTTGTTGTTGCATTAATTCCCATTGTTTCTTATATTGAAACAAATAACCTGAAAGCTATTTCTGGGACTAAAGACTTTCCATTCCCCACAGAAATTCTTTCATGGAATTAAGGGTTCCATGTTAAATCTTAAACATTTTAGTTGCAGGTTAATGCCATAAATAAATATATAAAAATAGTTTATTCAACTAGTCAGCAAATATTTCTGGTATGCCTTCTACATGTTGGGTACTCTTCTAAGCAATGTGGAATATGGCAGTGAACAAGAGAGTGAAAATTCCCTGGCCCCAAGGACTTTACATCTTCATATAATATATATTAAAGATTTTAAAAATACCAAAGAAAGATATGATAAAATCAAGTAGCATAATAAATGCAACAAAGTGGAGTTAGAAGATAAGAGTATGATGAGAGATTGCTGTTTTAAATACATTGGACACTAGAGAGAGAACATTTGAGCAGAGAAGCTGAATAAAGAGGGGGAACAGAACCAACACACAAATATCTGGGAGAAGAGGGTTTCAGGTCAAGGGAACAGCCGGTGGAAGGTCCAGAGGCAGGATGTGTTTTGACGTGTTCCAGAAAGGCCAGAGTGGTGTGAGCAGAGTGAATGAAGTAGAACATAGTAAGAGATAAAGGTGGAGGAGAAGTCAATGGCCAGCCATGTGAGGTCTTTTAGATTCTGAACCTTTGAAGGTATTTTCTACTTCTGAACCTTTTGTTAGAACTCTTTGACGACACTGTCCATTTTAATGTATATCTCTTTTAAAGATCTAGTAATCAAGTTATCTTAAAATTTGGTTCATGAAGAAATTTGATGCCTTCTGAAGGACTGCTAAGTTTTCTTTTATGATGAGAGTTTTAAAACACATAACAGTACCCTTGTGGTCATGGCTGCCAGGAGACACCAAGCTTGGGCTTGAGTGAACGAATGTTCCTCAGCTAAGGTTTTGGGTAAACTCATCTCCGCTCCTTCACGATTTTTTTTATTTGTCTCACATCTTCATTAATTTTCTGTCATTTATTGTTGCTTTAAATACCTTTTGGAAATAGGTATAATACAAAAAAGACCAAATCTGCCAATCAGAGGTCTTTCTATCTAAAACTATGATTCATATGACATCCATTTATTAAACAATTGGTTAGTATTTAGAGACTATGGATTAAATTAAATGAATAAGCCCTCAATTCCATCAAAGAGATAAATTTGTATGCTAAGTATAATAAAATAAGTTTTAAACTTACAGGGAATTAAAGTCTCATATAACACTCTGGGAGGTCAGTTCATGAAGAGCTTTTGTTGGCTAAGGGGAATTGAAGAAGAAATCACAGAGAGGAGGAGCTTGAAGGAAGACTCCTGCTGATTATGGTGAGACTCATTATACACTGAACAGTACTAACTGGTGTCATTCACATTGTATACGTGATATATATATATATGTGATGTATTATATATGATATAATATATGTACATATATAATGGCAATTTTCTTGTAGGGTACTTCAAAGTATTTTGAAGAAGTGTTCCTTTCATTTGCACAAAGTAACCACATAGGCCAATAGTAGCACAAACAGTAATTTTTAAACATGAAGGTATCCATTAATTCCAGTTCAATTTGTCTGGGATGAAGAATGAACATGTTATGTTTTTTAAAGCTTTCAGTGTCCACACCATGTTAAGGATCATTGAATTTGGAGAGTAACATTTAGGTAGAGAATTGAAAATTCTAGATAGAGGAAATATTTAAAGCAGTGGAAAATGCAAGAAAAAATGCAGAGAATATTTCATTGAAGAATAGACTTCATGCAGGAATAGGAATAATAGTTGAGAAACTTCTGTACTGGTCTAAGGAGTTTAAAGTTCACTCTCTAGGAAATGGGTACTATTAATGTTTTATTTTAAATAAATAAATCATAAAATCAAATTTGGGTTTTAGAAAGATTACCCTGAAAGCAGTGAGAAGGATAAATGAGAGGGGAGTATTTCTGCATGCAGAAAAATCAATCAGGAGACCATGGTAATGGTTAAAGGTAGGTGGTGATTGAAACCTGACTTAGGTAGAGGCAGTGAAAACAAAACACAGGAGACAAATAGAAAATATATGGCGAGGTTAGAGTTGTTAGGAATTGGAAGATGATTGAGTGTATGGGGAACAGTTTTAGGCTGGGTAACAGGAGGTATGGTGATGTAATTTTACAGAGATGAAGAACACAGATGTAGAGGTAGGAAAGGGGAGATGTGTTTACGGCAGCAGGGTAGAGATGTGCACGGAAGGTTGATGTGCAGTTACATCACAGTGAGTCAATCAAAACACGGTGTTTAAGAGCTTAAGACCTGGAGCCATGGAGATCTGGGCCCAAATCTGGCTACTCGGAGCACTGTAACAGTGAAGTAAGTTATTTAACTTTACTAAACTTTCATTTAAATGTGTAAAATGGTAAATATTAGTTTTATATCCAGAATTTTTAAAAAAGTGAGTTAATAGAGACACTTTACTAGTGTATAGAGAATTCTCAAAACTGCTAAGTAAATTTACTATTAGGGTAGAATTTAAGGGTAAAAAATAAAGTTGGGGATTAACTGTGCAGAGGTGCTAAATCGAGCCCATAGAGTAGCATACATTGCCCAGGAAGAGAAGGTACAGGAAGAAAAGAGAATGGATAAGACTAGAACATAGAAGATACCTATTTTGAGAATGCAGATAGACCAAGGGGAACACAAAAATGGACAGGGAAAGGACAATCAAGAACATGGTATGAAGAATTTATGCAGAAACAGAGGAATCCTATTTGAAGTATGATCTAAGGGCTGGAAATCTTGGTTCTAGAGCTTTGTTAGTACATTTTGATTGGTCTCAGTATCCTTCTACTTAATCTTCCCCTGTCTCTCCCAAAGAAAACAGAGCTACAGCACACTAGATAGTGTTTTGTACAATTGCTTACCAAAAAAGTACATAAGAACTGCCTGATTATTAGCTGATTATCATGTGATAACATCAAAACAAAATTTCATAAACAGAAAGTGCTACAACATGTAAGTAATAATTACAAAAAACCAAAGCTCTGTGTCTGATTTAAAAACCAGTGGGACATCTGCTTGGTTGCTACCATAATTGGCCACCAGCCTGTTGTTTTGTTGTACTAGAAGGACTTTATGTCCTGTGGATGTTACTTGCTCCTGGTCCAGGGGGACTCAAGTTTCCATTAGATTACAAGCTCTATACACAGAGCCAGATGTGTGCAAGACTCTTGCACAATTTCTAAGTCACTTAAAATTTTTTTGCTTTTAGTATTAGGTTCATTCAGTTTCCTTTAGTCCTTCCTCCATGAGAATTAATCATCTCCCTGGACTTCCAGTCTCTAAGGTGTCACTTGTGTTGTGACTCTCCCTGTGACTCTCCTTGTGAAAGCTTGGTAGGATAACCCAAACAAAAAAGATAAATTGACATTGCAATAAGCGTTCACTCCTGTTCACGTTGTACTCAGTTCCACTTAGTCATTCATTTACATAATCTGTCATTCAAGAAATGTTGTTTCAGCACCAGCTGAAATATGCCAGTTATTGAGCTAGATGTGTTCTCATATGTTAACTGAAGAATAAGTGTTCATGTTAGGGTGTAGAATAATTTCTAGTATAGCTTCAATTTAAACAGTTTATCAATTATTCTACTTCCCCTTTCCTCACATACCACAACAGCAAACTCCGTTGATTTTACCTTCTAAATATTTCACAAATCCATGTTTATTTCTCCATTTTTTTCAGTCATTTTAGGACGTTACTATTGAAGTCAGTAATAGTTGCCTTGATGGTTTCCCCGCATCCATCCTTACCTCTCTTTAGTCCATTAACCATGAAGCTATCAGAGAGCTTGTTTTTAAATGTTATTCAGATCCAATCATGTATCTCTCTTGATTAAAATTTTTCAAAGGCTTCCCATTGTTCTTAGGATAAATCCCTACAAATCCCTATGACATCTGGTTCTTCCCCAGCTCTTCTGCCTCATCTCATATTACTCTTCCCTGCCCTCTTTCATCCAGTCACATTGGTCTTCTACCATGCTCCTTCCTGACCATGGCAGCCTCCTTAGAGTTGCTGGACCCCTACCTTTGAATGCTTCCCTAATTCTTTGCCACTTAAAAGCAGCTCATTTTTAGATATTTGTGTGTGTGTGTGTGTGTGTGTGTGTGTGTGTATGATATATATGATATACATATAAATATATGTCAGTATTTATATATGGTTGAACTAAATGGTAAATAAAGAGCCAAAGTTAATGCTCTCAAGTATCTTATTGTTTACACAAGCAGTATTTAAGACATCTTAATATATTATAATAAACTGAGATAAACAGGGATAATTTTTGAAGGAATTTACACTATGATAAGCTGAGAGGTCAGAGAGAATTCCCTAATGTATCTATATATAGGCTTCCCTGTATAATATGTATATTTATATACATATATATATAAACAATCGATATCTGCATATATCATATATATACACACATACACACATATAAACAAATGCATGCAATATATAGATGTATACATATATGCACGTGTATATACATATATAAATACATACAACGTATATATACATATACATATATGCACACACATATATACATTCAAATGTATATGTATATTAGGGAAAACTCTCTGATCTTTTAGCTTAGCTTATCACAATAAAACTTTCCTTCATTATTTATCCCACTTTATGATAATACATTATGATTTGTGAAATACTGCTTGTCTCCCTTCACTAAACAATAAGATACTGAGAGCACAAACTTTGGCCCTTTATTCACCATTTTTTCTCAGAGGAGTAGCACAATACCATACACATAAACAGAATCTCAAAGTGTTTTGCTGTTGGATGGATGAATGATTAAATGATCAACCGTCCACCTTAGAAGGGAAGAATGTTGCTTTGGAGCTATAATATTTTATTGCAAATTATATTTTTAATTAATTTTTATTGGAGTATCCTTTACACTGCAAATTATTGGTAAGGCTTTTACAACTAATGAAGATGACACTGGAAGGGAGAAAAAAATAAAGATACACAACTGAGCAGTAATTTTAGATGTCAAAGACAAGAGCACCACTCCATTAGATCATTTTTAATAGTATAGATTTCCATCAATCCTCATTACTTTTGTTTTTTTAAAAAAATATTTATTTATTTATTTTTGGCTGTGCTGGGTCTTCGTTGTTGCACGTGGGCTTTCTCTAGTTGCCTCGAGTGGGGGCTACTCGTCGTTGCAGTGCGCAGGCTTCTCATTGTGGTGGCTTCTCTTGTTGTGGAGCACAGGCTCTAGGTGCACGGCCTTCAGTAGTTGTGGCACGCGGGATCCAGAGTGCAGGCTCAGTAGTTGTGGCACACGGGCTTAATTGCTCCGCGGCATGTGGGATCTTCCCAGACCAGGGCTTGAACTCATGTCCCCTGCATCGGCAGGCAGATTCTTAACCACTGTACCACCAGGGAAGTCCCAATCCTCATTACTTTGGAGGACAAACATAAAGCCAGCACTCGCCTCTAAAGTCAGCTTTGAGAGGAAATGGTGGTAAAACCTTTACCTCAAGCTGATGTTTGGAATAAAGACATTTCACACACGTATAGATTTGAGGAGAGCAAGGTAAGCAGAGAAGATTAATATTAAGACTTTTTCTCCATTGTATATTCTTTTCTCCTTTGTCACAGATTAGGTAAATCAGAAAGAGGAAAACAAATACCGTATATTAACACATATATGTGGAATCTAGAAAAATGGTACAGATGAACTTATTTGCAGGAATAGAGAAGCAGACGTAGAGAATGGACGTGTGGACATGGAGGGGGGTAAGGGTGGTGGGATGAATTGGGAGATTGGAATTGACATACATACACTACCATGTGAAAAACAGATAGCTAGTGGGAACCTGCGGTATATAGCACAGGGAGCTCAGCTCGGTGCTCTGTGGTGACCTAGATGGGTGGGATCGGGGGAGGTGAGAGGTCCAAGAGGGAGTGGATATATGTATACATATAGCTTTTTCACTTTGTTGTACAGCAGAAACTAAACACAATATTGTAAAGCAACTATACCGCAATTTAAAAAAAAAAAAAGACTTTTCCCCAGCTTTTCTGCAAGAAAATGGTCCTTACAAAGAATGTCTGAGTGAAATTATTTATTCTGTGCTAACATGGGAAAGCTAACAGACAAACAAACAGAAAAGCCTAGAAAGAAGGGTGTGTTGCTAGAATCAGTGAAAAATTAGTCCTCAAAATGTCTCAGATCCTAAATATATACTTTACGCAAGCTGATGATAATCCAAGGGCGTTTTTCAATTGTGTTTTTCCTAAAAACAAGTTAGCAAGGTTCACAT